GATTTAAAAAACAAATATCTGTGCAAGTGCTACATTCATCTTGTCTATATAAACTGAATAGCAAAGCAGTTTCATTCAGTTTTCTTGAAAGTTTAATTTATATGTTCAGCAAGAATTTTTGAAAGACAAGATTATTTCATAAAATCATTTCTTTCTCAGTTTTTTACAAATACATTTAGTTATTCCACAGAGGGCATACTCCATTTAGAAAAAAGGCAGAACACAATTCAAGATAACAGAAGAGGGCTAAGCTTTAGGAAATACATTTTTGCCTAAATTCATCCTTGGAGTAAGCTGGCACAGCTCAAATATCAGAAATAAAATCTTTTTGCATTGTATTTGACTTTTTCTTTCATTCTTAATGGGCACAAGTGAGGAAATTTGGCAGTAGAACTGCACACACTTACACTCCAGTGCTGAATTGTTGTAATTCACTTTTCAACTCTTTTTTTTTTTTTTTTTTTTCATGAAGGCATACAGGAAAATCCCAATGGCAAGCAATTCCCATTTATTACTCTCTTTGGCTGTGACGAAGCTGTGAAGTAGATGTACCCTGCAGGGTCCCAGCTCACCCATACTGGGGACAGCAACAAAGCTCACCCCACTCCTGAAGGCCCAGGCTCCTTCCAGGGGAAACCAGAGGAGGTTGATGCACATCCAGATACTGCCCCAGCCTGGAGCAGGACAAGGCCAAGGCATTCACTTTGAGCCAGGAGCTGGGAAATGCTCCCATCTCCCACAGTTCAGATGCCAGTAATGGTCTCCCACACAAACAGTTCCCCTGACTGCAGTGAGATTTAAATTGTTAGGTGTTGCGTAGCGTGAGGCAGTGGCATTTAAGTATTCCAGCCTGGAATCTACCAGCTTATTGAAGCATCTCCCAGGCTATGGGACAACACTTACTGTTCAGGCAGGAGTACACACTGTAGGGTGGCTTCTTCTTCTTCTATCATTTCAGTTCTCAGCAAGGATTACGACTGCATGGGATTCTCCAAGAAATTCAAGATAGATGATTTCTCCAGGGAGCTTCAACGTGGTTTAAGAAACCCACAATAATCGTATGAGCTGTAATCATTGTTTTCTGCCCCTACTTTCAAATACAGAGAGTGACAGTCAATATAACTGAAAGAGATTTATGTATAAAATGCCTGTGGTGCCATTTGCCTTTGGCAAGTAATTATCATGTCCTCTACACATCAAGTAAACTCCAATAAACTGTTTACCCAAAATAAATCAAAAGGCCTGATCCTGTGACCATGCGACTCCACCACCTGCAGGTAGTTCTGCATTCAGTGAAGACAAGGAGACTCTGCACATAAATAAAACTGGTCAGATTTAGGGGTCCTGTCATCGAGTCCTGCAATGGAGACCAGAAAACTATGCTGAGCCATTCAAGGTTAGAACTTACTTTGGTGTAACCAAATAAAAGAAGCACAGAAAACCCTTTGAGGCAAACAGAATGGCTCTGGAGATGATGTTCTAAGGTTGGTTCTGAGTTTCTCATCCATGTAGGGAACAGCCTCACACTGGAGGCTCTTTGTGGAAGTTTGAGGAAAGTGAAAAACCACTTCTTATAACTCTTTCTTGTTTTGGGATTCATATATATTCAGACATCCTTTACCATGCATGGTGACCTCTGGAGGTTTCACAGATTGCTCATAATTTTCACCAGTGTAGTAGATACAGCCTCCGTGTTGTCCCAGAAGCACTCTGGTACCACTTCTGCAAGCACTCTGTGTCCTGGGGTTTGGCTAGGCATTCCCGTACTCCAGCCTTCTCCTGCAGAAGAACATTTGCTGAGTAGCTGTATAGAGTCGAGACAAAGGACTGGACAGCACAGTATCCTTCCCCTGAAAGTGGCCAGAAGCAGGTGTTTTTTGAGGAAGACTGAAGAACAGGGCGCATATATATATGGTATGCCTCCCAAGTACTCCTTTAGCTTCGAGCAATCAGCATCTCAGCATCATGACATAGTTTCAATGTATTTAGGGAATTGTGCAAAAGTCCCACATTCCAGACTGAACTTGAACACACAGAACCTGATCGCAGTCAGTGACTGTCCAATTTGTTCTTTAATCTTTGGAACATCATCGTTCAGTAACTTTTTCTTTAAAAATCCTACAGCTATCTAGGTTTCCTGTGGGAATAAAAAAAAAAAAAAAAAAGGACCAAAACCAGCATGTTTTTCATGTAATTTGTATCTGAGGGGAAGAAATATTAAAGAAATATTAAGTAACATTCACACTGAACAGAATCCAATGTGCCTTTTCCAATTGCAAATATTATCATAAATACAAATGTATGATACAAGTTTGAGCCCATGCCACTTGTAGGCCACCAGAATGGTTGTGAAGCGAATTGGGTTTGCATGTACTGATACATACCTGCCCAAAACATGGTAGCATGTGCCTACAGCATGGTAGCATGCTGTCATAGGATGAAGAACAACGGCAAGTCATCACGTGGACTGTATCCTGGTTCGTCCTCAGCAGCCCACCCATCATCCTCAGACACCTGGTTGAACAAGATTAGTTTGGTGCATTATGCTGTGTCACTGATGGTGCAAGAGATGCATCTCATCTGTAATTCTGCTGAGACTAGAAAGAGCAAGCTGTTGGTGAATTGATTCCTAGCAAGAAATCTTATCCAGATGTGCAACCCAGCACACATCCATCAGCCAGGAATGTCAGTGGCATGAGTTATCAACCACAGGAAAAGAGGACTGTGAAGAGTCATCTACAGGGCTGTAGGTGGTCTCCCGCAGTGATTAACAGTAAGACCCCACCACGCTGCTCATTTCATAGTCACTTTGCCTTGCCAAGGAGGTTTTTGCACCCATATGAAAAGGGTAGAAGAAAGGTTCCCCGGGTGTGCACATCCTGATTAAGAGCGATTGTTATGTTTGCTAGCCCTGACAGCATGTTGGGCTCACCTCCCCTTGTCTGGATATTCAGCCTCCGGGAGCCTAGCACTGCAATCGCTGCACATCGCTACGGCCACAGGAAGAGGCAGAAGAATCTGTAGCTGAGAGGTCCTGTCTTCTCTGTGCAGAACAATCGGCTCCTCTCCGCAGGTCGTCAGGTGTTTTTAGCTGTTTTGGAGGTGCTCAGTGATTGAATCACTGGGGACACCCAGCAATGTGTGTGCACTTCACGGCAGTGCTGGGCTTGGCGAAGCTACATGCTCTTCATTGAAAAATAGGTCTTGTTGGCTCCCACCCTTTTGTGTGAATAACCTGCAGGCAAGAAAAGAAACAGCCATGGGACATTGCAAAGTTTTGTCTCCCAACAGGCTCTGCTGTTTTTCATTGGTTTTGATCCCCAAAAGGCCGGATTAATTGTGTTCAGATATCATTATCTCACTTCTAAAAACAAAGAGATGCACAAAGAGGTTAGTGGCTACTCAAAGCCATATGGGAAGCTTACGTGTAAAGAGATCCAAGTCCTCACCTTGGCTCAGGGTAGCACTGTAACTAACAGATGGAATGCCTTTCCCTTGCTCCTCCTTACCAGCTCCAGTCACCTGCTCAGTCCTGTGGCTTCTCTGTGGCTACTGAGTCTTTGCACATGTCTAATTCCACAGCATCAAACTACAAGCTGCAAAAAGGAATAGATGTGTGAGATCTTTTCTTGACAACATTTAGGAATGAAAGGGATGAAGAAAAGACACAGAAGAAACCCAGACAGCTCCTCAGTCCTGGACCAGAGCCTCAGCTCAAAGTGAAGCACGGACTCTCCTCTGTCCCAAAGAGAACATGGGGCTGATGCTCCACAGCAAGAAAGCACCCAGTTCAGAAACATCCCGACTCACTGTCTTCACTCCGTCTGTACCTTTCTGGGCAACAGTGAGGATGCAACACGGGCACAGATGTGATTGAGTGAATGCATGTGTGCGTTCCAATTAATTCTTTCAGCTCTTGTGGTGGTTTAGGGGTTTTTTTATCTCTCTAAAAAGATAACCTGTATAAGAATGACATTTTGCAATCAAACGTTGAATGCCTTTTTTATTTAAACATTAAGATTAAATTACAAAAGCTTCTGGAACAAAGAAAGGATGCTAAGGAGGAAAGAGCTGAAAACTCGGATTGCATTTTCTCATTCATTGTGAAAGCAAAACACATTGGCAGCAGCAAGGCGTTTTATAGAAAAGTTTCAGATGGACAGTACAACGACCTTTCTGTCAATATTGTCACTGAAACACCTTGCTGTCATGAAGCACATCTTTTTTTCTGATCACATTTCTTAGTGTTGGCTGATTGGTTTTCACTGTGGGAAACAAGTAACAATTATTTGAGAATTACTGTAATTCTTTGCTGTTAATCTCTGCTAATATAACTCAACCTTCTTCTTGGGAAAATGTCCAAACATCATTCACTTTACCCTAATAAAAATGTCTACTGCTGTTATTAAAAGTTTTATTTGCACAAGTGTGTTCCTAATCTATGTTAATTTCATGCAATATATCTCTAATTTTTGGAATAAATACTGAGAATAATTCAGGAAAATTCTTTGGAACGCAAAATCCAAACAAACCTCATATTTTGTTTTCAGGGCAAAATTCCACCACCTTTATTTACACAAGTAGCATTCTGCTCCCTCTGTTACTTCACTGCAAGCTAGAGGCTCAAGCAGTGAAAATCAGCATAGCCCCATTAAGATTTACTGCATTGTATTAACTTCGAGTGAAGATTGGGCCGAGCAGTTCTATCTGTGGAGTAATGCGCTACCGATAACCAGTAAAGGTGCTCAAACATAGCCCTACGCATAGTAATTTGGCACATTTACAACCGGTGTTACTCAGTAACCTATCAGATGACAATAGTGGAGCTCTTCGGTAAAATATAGGTTAAGCCTACATTAGTATGACTGACTGTACATCTGAAGTATAAAAACCACGATATGTAGTACACTTGAACAGTTAAAAAATATAACTTATTTTATTTGTAAACTATCAATGCAAGATACTCAGCAGCAAAGAAGCCATGTTCAATGTCTTCTGATCTTTTATAAAGATCTGTTGCTGTAAGTAATATAATCGTCTCCGAAACATCTGAGGTTACATGTAGAAACAATCAAGGCAATATTATTTGTACATATTATTAAACATGCAAAAAACTTCCTGAAGAATATTGCCCAAATGTAGAAAGTCATCTGGATCTCAAATTTTCCTTGGTAGCATCTGCTTTGTAAATATGGCTCACATGTGGCTTTAGAGTCCTTCAGTTTATTTGGGAGAATTGGCACCTTTAATGACAGGCTCCCTATTCAAATATGTGGCCCAGTAAACTAAATTAAAAGTTCCAAACAGCACTGGAAAAATTATCCGGGACATTTTGTCAATCTTACTGATGCTGTTGTAAGTCTTTTTGCTTTCAGGAGGCTTTTCTTCTGCAGACTTCACTGGAGCAGACGCAGCGTTTGAGATGACAGATGGGGCTGAGTCCTTTGGCATGTTTGGTGCGGGGGTCATCTTCCCGGTGCTGTAAGTATTAGTTGATTTATTTCCCAGCAATTCACGCTCTTTTTTCTGCAGTGTAGAGAACAAAATGTTAGACCGCAGGAACTGAAAGCGGGAACACATTCTCAAGATATTAACCCAAAATTCTAACTACCATAATCAATCATGCTAACAAATGCCTGTTGGCTGTTCCAACTTTGACTCCCAAACAGCTGTTTCTGTCTTGACTTTATAGCCCTTACTCAGGTTAACCTTTCCCTGATGCCGGAGAAAGCTAAGAGCGGTCAGCCGGACCCAGATCCCACCTGGCGTGTGCATTAGCCTCTTCTTTTCTCTGCACGGCGTGGTCCCGCACCTGCAGAGTTTGCTGCCCCCTGGGCAGCTGCCAAGGTGGGAACCTCACCCTCCTGGCTGCACCACGGAGTGTGCTGAAGGGCTCCTTGTCCCTGCCAGCTTGCCCTCTTTGTACCCGCTTGTACCTGTGGGTACAAGCTCTCCCCAGGAGATCATTTGCTAAAAGTCAGTCCCATTCCAAAATTTTCATTTCAGCGTGAAACTCAGAAATTTGTGTTTTCGCAGAAATGCTCTTTTGTCTCTTTCTTTTTTTTTTTTTTTTGTTATTGGAGGTACTGTGGTGGGACCTTGACTCAAGGAGCTCAGTGTGAGCTTTGCTGTTTATCTGGGAGAGCACATAGGGAGCGCTCAGCAGAGTTGTATTTCACAGTATATGTCTGCTATTATCAGAAGTTTGGTCACGGAAATCCCATGCCATGTAATCTCAGTGCCCTATACCCTTCTGAAAACAGTGTACTCCATACAGACAGTGGAGACTGTTAGTCTATCTCCATGAAGAGAAGGCAGCATATTTCCTTGCAAATATTCCTCTATAGGAAGGTGAAAGAATACATGAGTTAATTAAACACCTTTTTCGTGAAGAAGCTGAAAATTGTCCATTCAGTTACTAGAACTATGCTGAGTAAGTGCTTTTTATTTTAGGTATTTAAAAAATGTAAGGTAAGCACCTTGATTTTAGCAGCTTCCAGGGCTTTTTTGCCATCCCATGCCCAACTCCTCTTGGTGAAATAGTTGACTGTTGCAAATTCAATCAACGCAGAAAACACAAAGGCGTAGCAGACAGCTATAAACCAGTCCATTGCAGTAGCGTAGGCCACTTTTGGCAAAGAGTTACGGGCACTGATACTTAAGGTGGTCATGGTGAGGACTGTTGTTACTCCTGTAAAGGAGAGGGGAGAAAAGAGGCAGAGATCAGTTTGGTAGCCCTTATGAGATCTGTAATGAGTTATGAGCAGGCCCCAGTTCAGCACGATACTGAAGAAGGCCACATGGAGTCACTCAGTGTTTGCGTATTATGGTCCGAAAGAGTAAGATACTTTGCTCACCAAGAAAAGATACAAGCCCTTACCCTCCGGTGTTTATTTCTGCGGTGTTCTGGTTATCTCTAGTTATAGCGTGTCTAAATAAGTATTTTTAAGGGTAACACAAACCCGGCTGTTCCATAAATCAAAACCTTACTGGCATTTTAAACCCGTAAACTGATACATGGTATGTATAGAGTGGCCCTCATTAAGTGTTACATTATAAAATAAGTGAGCAACCCGTATAGCAGTAACTTGCACAATAAAGTGGGATTATGGATTGTATTTTCTCACGTGAGGATTTTATGTATGCAATTGTTGGCTCTTAGTAGTTTCATTGACTGTAGCTCCTCCTTTCCCACAGGCCAGTAAATGACAGAGCTGCCACCCCTTTTCATCTGTGGAAGGATGCCCTCAATAGGCCAAAATTTGATTCTCACAGCTTAGCAAACCTAGAGTGGGTACCAGTGGTCAACAAAACGATGCTGGTACCTGTATTCTCCCCATACAGCTCACTGAACTGATTTTTGATCAAAGCTGTTGACTGATTTCAGTAGGTTTGTACTGAAGAACGACTCTTTTAAGAACAGCTGAACTAAGCTTTACATAATTAACTGTTCCCACTCCCTTCATTTCTTTCTCCTAATGGAAATTTTGTATTTCATCAACCTTCACTTAAGAATATGTTCATTATCTGCAATCTTTGAATGATAAATAGAGTAACTTAAGAGACCCCAAAGGATTTTTCCATGGCAACTTCTATAGTAAATATATATTTTCTAAATGCAAAATCATATTAATTTGTTTGATGGTAATAGAGATAATTGTCACTACTTAACCTCTACATGGTTTTTCCAGATAAACATCTTAAAACACATATAAACAAAATGCCTTGAAGCAAAATGTCTCAAATACTTAGAGTATACAGTAAATATGATAACACATATGGTTTTTTGTTCTAAACAATCCAGTATTTTACCCAAGTAAAAAAAAAAGAAAATCCACAAATCTGATTCTTCTCTCCTGAACCTCCATATAACTGATTCTTGAGCAATTTTTGTCTTAACTTTACCCAAAAAGCACAGTGTTTTTAAGAGGATTGAGTTTAAACTGGAATAAGACAAGGGAACATCTAGAACATGTCAAGCAGAAATAAGCATTAGTGCTCTGTGGTTCTGTTACAGCAAATCACTGTCACAAGCCAGATTATTCCTTCCACTGTGCTGGGAAAAAGTGGGATACTCACCAAAGACAGTCCTAGCAGGGACAGATTCTCTGTTTAGCCAAAACGACACTTGCGATAAGATCACGGTCATAATGCAAGGAAGGTACGTCTGGATGACAAAATAACCGATTTTTCTTTTCAGATGAAAATGGGCTGTCATGATAGTATATTCGCCTAGAAGGAAAAAAATGCGCATATTGGTAAAATAAGGGAGTTCTACTGTTTTAGGGACTTAAGCAGGTCAGCTCCACCCCTGGTTTGAGGATACCATTCAGCTATTCTTAATTCCATGAAAAATGTCTGGATTTCTGCGCTGTGGAAAACCAGGACTTGAGACAGAGATGCTGCTAGATCCTGCTAATCTTCACATTCAGCCTCCAAAAGCAGAAGACAACACCTGACTGCTCCCACTGCGCTGAAAGGCTGCAGTCCTTTTATGCACCCAGGACATCTTGCAGTTCACCGGCTTAAAAAATCCAGGTTGCTGGCACTGCCTCCATCCTGCCTGGTTTTGACTCGGTCCTACAAACTGTCTTACCAGAGTAACGATTAAGGCCATCTACTCTTAGAAACCTGATTTAGCAGCAGGACTTAACCTCATTAGGGTGACCATTATTGCCAAGGCACTGGTTTTCCAGAATGAGAACAAGTCCAGACACTCCCTCTGCACAGCACCTTGGGGACTGCCCGTCCCAATGTCAGTGCTGCACAAACTGCAGCTTTGTACATGGATACCTGGGAGGTCTTGCTCATCTCAGTACTCAACCCCATCAAATTGCTCCTCCAGAAAAAAACATCACTTCTAGCGCATGCAGTTTTCCTAGAATTTGGTAGACCTTAGCCCTTGGAAAGATAATGTTTCTGGATAGGCATTGTGCCATGTCTTGTTCAATGACTATTGCACTGCCTTCATGGAGAACTAACTAAAAGTTGCTACAGCAGCGCTAAATTCCATGTCTTTTTCTTATGCCAAATTCACAGCATTGCCTTAATCTGGCTTTTGTCAGGTCTTCTGAATTTCAATAAAACCCTAAAATAATGCACTCCAAAATCGACAGACCAGCTGTCATCTTCCCTAATGTTTCAGGAAAAAAAAAAAAAATCAAAACTTAACTGGTCCTTTCAGACTGTTCCTGTAAAAATATACAGTTGTTACTGAAGGCTATTCAGTGATGGTGGCTGCTCCCCAAAGCCAAAATCTTGCTAGCTAAAAACAGGCTACTATTTGCCTAGGAAAAACAACAGTAAAACCAAAATATAAGAATAAAACCCAACCAACCTCTTCAAGCCCTAACAGCTCTCCAGTCACAGTGATATCAAATTTATTTAAAAGCATGCATCATTCAGCGGGTACGGATGAATCGAAGTAATGCCTGCTCTGAAAGATATATTGTCCTCCAAAAATAAAACAAACACAGCTATAATCTCTGTTGCAGACCTGACTGTTAGTCTCTACAGACCAGTCACAAAAGGGAAACATGTAACAGGCTGATTCTGCCTCGAGTGAATAGCCCGAGTTGAGCTGCAGCCAGCATTGCTAAGCAGTTAGATTTGGCAGATTATTTCCAAGTGACAATATGGCTAGTTAGCGGGGAACAGGTCTACAGTGAAAGGGCTTTTGCAGGTATAGCAGCATGGATACGTTATGCTAGAGGAGCTCTGTTATCATGGATGAAGTTTACAGACCTTGTTCGTGCTGAGGATCTTGGACAGAAAGACTGCAATAGCACAGAAATACCTTACCCGACAGCCTGCCTCAATCTTTATGACTTTCTTCTGGAGTCTGATTTTCTGGTGAAATAGTTCCCTGAGGAGGGATAAGGAGATGGACAGGGAATGCTGTGAAACTGGGGAGAAAATCCCTGTGAAGCGATGTCTAATTCCCTTCCATTTAGTGTAATTTTGAACCAGGGATGCTGAACATGCTGTGGTCTCAGGAGGAACCCCACTTGCTCTTTATTTAGGAGTATTCAGTTTGTGGATTGTCCATAAAATATGCCAGGAGCAGCAGGGTCTATGTGCCTGTAATCTGTTTCTGAGTTGCTGCTGCACGGGGATGTGTTTGAGTCACGGTTTCCCTGCTCGCTACGGAGTGACGATGTGCATTATTGATTCTGACAGGATGCTTTCAGAGCTGGAATAAGAAAAAATCTACACAGCTTCAGCAGAGCAACAGGACCTCTGTTTTTCCTTTTTAAAATGCAGAAAATGAATGCCTACATTTTGATGGCCCTCCACAGCTGATTTTTACCTTTTCATTTTCTTTAACCTATCAAAGCTCTTGTTTCCACTGAAATAATGGTATCATTTTGATTTTGTACTTGCTTTTTTTCCAACCACTATCTTCTCCTATTTCCCATGCTGTCCCTTTCAAAAATGCTTATGCTAGGAATGCTTCCTCCAGCAGATGTAGGGTTTAAGAAAACCCCACAGTTTGGTAATTAATGCTCTGGGACCACTGCCTAAAGTAAAGATAAAAGCTGCCTGAGTTGGCCTTTTGTTTATATAGAACAAAATCCTGGCTCTGTTGGAGTGGCAAAGCCCCCTTTTACTTCTGTAAGTCCACGTTTATCCTTCGACTATAAGCTAATTTTTGTTATAGGTTTATGTAGCACTTAAAAGAGAATCCTGTTCCTGACGGGGGTCCACTCATCACTGCAGAAAACAATTTTAATAACAAATTTAGCACTAACAAAAAGCCCTAGAACGGGAATGGCTGCATTTCTTCACAGAGCTGAGCTACTGTGCTGCTGCTGGTCTGAAAGGTTTTTTTAATGCTTTAAAAGCTGCTGAAATATTTTTTTGACATCTAGATGATTGAGTTCTGGAGATCAGGCTTACAAATTTTCCAGGACCTTGCATCAATTCTTCCATTGCCATTATGCTGGGAGTCAATTAAGTATTTTAATGAGGATGGACCCGCCCCCAGGCTTGTTTGTTTACTGGATATACCTGGACTCAGGTGTGTCAACAACTATTCTGACAAGATCCTGATGTTAGGTATGTGACACCCCAGTCCCTGACCATGCTGACACACAGAATATTTTGGTCCAGGGGAGATGCCTGTGTCCTTTTTATGATGATGCATGGGGAAGATTGATCTCAAGGAAAAAACAGAATTATTTGGTGCAAAATGAAAGGCTGAATGCTTCTTTTATTATTTAAGGTTTGGATATTTCTGAGCTCAGGCTCCAGCTGGCAGAAATTAAAAGAGTGGGCTTTTGTTTTGTTTTGTGGCACTGCCGAGCCTAAGTTAGCGATGAGAGATCTTGGGTATGGGGAACAGAACTGGGCAACCGTTTGCAGAAAACAGCAGGATCTGCTTGGGCCCAAATCCCTTGTCTGATTGTTTTCAGCACTTGCACCACCAGGACAGAACAGATGTTGGACCTGTTAGAAGCAGTGTGAGTAGTCAAGTGTCTTCTGTTTCTTTGGGAAACAAGATCTGGGGATGTAAGCACAAAATAAACCCCAAACCCCATACAGGTAGCACATATCAGAGCTGTTTTCCATGGCATGGCTAAAATGTTCCCAATTTCAAGATTGGTTGGTGAATTGCGAGTGCCAGGATGTCTTTTCTGAGAAGATAGCTAAATTTAGTGGCTTGCCTACAAAATCAGCAGAATCCCAAGGGATTGGTGCAGTTCCAGCATCTCCATTAAAGAAAAAAAAAAAAAAAATTTGTTAGAGAGGGGAGCATAAATGTTCCATGACATACACAAATATTTTGCCTATGCAACTGCAAGGGATGTGTAGTTCGACCTATGTGTCAAAAATCCCACAAAAGATCCAAGCACTTGGATTTGTGCAATGGCTATTTGGTTTTTCTTTTTCACGTTCAACAATTCAATAGAAGAAAGAAATGCCTTAGACGGCTGTTCATAAGTAACCCTGATTACTGGCCTCCTACGAGCTTGATGAAGTCCAGAAAATCCATCGCTGACTGATGCTTTCCCTGTGCAAAATCGGATTTCTGTATTTTGCTAATCCCTGGTTACAATCTGTGTCCTGCTCTTTGTGATCCACCCTGCAATCAGAATCCAGCCAGCCCAGATGCAACCCAGGACATTAATATAAAATCTTGACGTTGGAAAACGAGCATTTATTAGCCTAAATCTTAGGATACAGGAGGGAGGTGGTTACTGAGCAGGAACTTTGGGATTTGTCTGAAGAGTCCCGTTTCCTTGGGCTGAAGACTACAAGGGGCTTTCCCAGGCAAAGCTGTGAACTGAAGTGGCCCGGAGCTGACACACTGGAGCACTCACTGCCTGGGCTGGATGGTCTTCTTGCTCTGAGGAGCAGGACGAGCTTGTAGGAGATGTCCCTGCACATCCTCTGGATCTTTTTCTTGACAACGATGAAGGCGAGAGGGGAGCTGCCATTCATTGCAGAGAACAACGCAGCTATGATGGTCAACTGGTAAGGAAAAAAGTGTCTTTGCTTTTTAATGGGAGATAGTGTACTCATCCTTCTTCTGCAGCGGTGCCTGCTCTGACTCTGCCTATACACTTATTTTGACTTTAAATACCTTTGCTTTAGCGGCAGCTTTGTCTCCTGAGACTGGTGAAGGGAAGGGGTGAAGCTCTGTAGGATGGAGACGGTGGTTGTGTTTTGTGGTTCCCCTGTGCTGCCCAAGGCAAGCCCGAGGCCAGGCTGGATGAGGCTTTGAGCAACCTGGTCTAGTGGAAGGTGTCCCTGTCCATGGCAGGGGGGTTGGAACTAGATGGACTTTAAGGTCCTTTCCAGCCCAAACCGTTCTGTGATTCTATGATTTCCCTCACTGTGTGTCCTGTTTGGAGAGCGAGCGGCAAGCTCAGCTGCCCCCCCTTTATTTGCCCCGTTGGGGCAGAAAGCTTTACACGCCTCCAGGTTTCAGTCCATCTGCGTGAGTGTACGGGTACCGGTTTTCACACCTCCTAAATTTCCGGCGGGCAGTAACGGGTTCCTAACAGGACCTGTTCCTTGTCCTCTGCAGTCCTGCCTTCGGCAAGGACACGGTGCATCACCGGGAGACTGCCGTGCCGTGCCGTGCCGTGCCC